GTGATTATATATATATATAAATGTATATATAATATATATAGTATATATAATGTATATATATAGGCCTATATATATATATATATATATATATATATATATATATATATAGATTTGATTGACTTACTTTATAATCCAATCAAATATTGTTTTCTTTTAAATGCAACTACATTAATGTTTGCATACAGAGAAACGAAAGGTGAAGACGTACGTACGGACAAAAAGCGGGAAATTGATAAAACAATACGTATTTGTTACTGAGCAAGAATATCAGGAAATGAAAGACGACGATGTTGCAGCAAGGCGCATTCTTGGTCTCAGTGCCGACGAGAAACTTGAAGACTTTACCAGCTCCAGGAAAAAATATGTTGTGAACGAAGATGGTGAATATGTCGAAGGTAACATTGTTTAACATTAATTTATATATTATAATGCAAATTACTTTTATATAAATTTAGAAAGTCAAAAATTATGAATTTGCGAGAGGAAAACAAAAGTTACTCAACCAGAAATTTAAAACCTGTCCCTTTTGCTTTATATGCACACGCCTTAAATAACTGGGTAATTGAGTCCTTCTTGGGAATGCAAATCCAATTAAATCAAGTTATTATTCTACTTAGTATTTGATGCATGGCAAATGACAGAGAAGAATATTACACACCCTCCTCTTATTAAAGCTTTGACGACAAGACAGGATCTCCGCGAAGAGACACTTTTTTTTAAAATACATCATGATATACCACCATCTTGCGGTAAATACATAAAACACAAATCCACATAAACGCGAAAGCAAATGTACATTTTAAAGTGCATTTAGTATACAGATACTAAAATCAATAATGTGGTTTTTTTTTATTTCATTCTTCAAACAGTACATAAGATTCGAGATGACAGTGCATACCAAGAGAGCCTAAAGAGTGTCAAACGAGGTCAGCATGCAGGAAAAGGAAAACACAGGCACAGACGGCGGTACATTATACTAATAACATGATGTTTATAACATTGAATTTTCAAACAAACATTACATTGTGATTATGTTATTCAATATTATTTAATTGACGTTTGAAATTATTTCTCATTACAAAACAGTTATCTAAAATGTTATGTGAAACCAGAATTATTACACTTATACACTATTATTTTTGTTTAAATTTTCCCTAATCGACGACTTTATTTTACAGGAGAGGAAAAGGAGGAAACTATAGCGACGATGATTTAAGCATTGAAAGCGGCGTTGGAGGCAGTATTGATGGTGGAACGGGTCGCAGCCGACGCCGACGTCGGAGACATCGTCGTGGTGGTAGTTCATATTCTTCATCAGTCTCGGAAGAATCATACATTAGTACTGGTGGTACAAAACATGTGAAGTATCGAAGGCGGAGGCGCCACAGGAGTAGGGATGGTAAGTTAGATCACCATTCAATATATGTAATGTATATTTATATATATATAAAATGTATATATAAAAACATATATACATATATAAAATGTAAAGACAATGAAAAGACGATGTACAATTATTGAAGGTTGACTTGCGCAACACAAATTTATTAAAATATAATAGAATAGAACGAATACATTGATAGCTCCTGCTATCTTCATCAACGTTAAAGTGAGTAAACTTGGAAGGTCTAGCATTTATATAGTATAAAAATGGTATTAACAAATAAGAACCACGGAAAATACAATTTGTTGATTGGAACACAAAATATAAGTTCGGTGACAAGTTAATAAGCGAATTAATTACACGCAAATTATAATAAGATGTCGGCAAAATAGAAATGGTTAATGAATAATAGTGTTAGATGGCTCCAAGAGGAAAAGACAATTGTTGAAGAATTAGATTCCTAGAGCATAACTACAATAATAACAATATTATTATCAGTGTGCGTCATGCCATTTGTAAATGTGACTATGTGACTTCATGCTGTTGAATTATTAAAAACTATAATCATTACGATTTTTGTATTCGTCTATTGTAATTCATTGTTTTGCTTTTGTTCCATCTCAGGTGAAAAGGGAAGACGTAGGCGGAATCGATCGTACTCAAGTAGCGGAGACAGCGACGATTGTGATGGAAACGGGAAAAACCACAGTCGTCGCCGCCGCAAGCATGGACACAGAAGGCGAAGAAGTTATTACTCAAGTGATGACAGTGATGAAGATGGTAGTCGTAGTGGTCACCGCAAACGGAGGCATAGACGGCGGAAAGGGAGTAGTTACAGTGAAGATTCAGACGATGAGAAGCGGCATAGAAGACGACGACGAAGAAGACGACGACGAAGAAGCGGGTAACTCCATTTCATTATTTGTAAATCCCTCCATTGTTAAAAAAAAAAATCTTTAAAAATAATATGAAGACCTGAACAAAGTAATCAATACCATGTCAATTGTGCCAGTCCTATTCATGATGAAAGAGGCGAGTCCTTCATTTAATCGTCGTTAGTATTACTCAACTTTTAGTAACTTATTGTATTTATTCGAGTAAACGCCCCTCTCGAATAAACTACAGCCTCATTTGGAATAAACGCCTCCGTCGATCGAATAAACGCCTCGAGGCGTTTATTTTTTTCCTCGAATAAACGCCTTCCCACTAAATGACAGTAAACAAATCTAATGTAAGCAACGTCATTCTCAACACATTCTAATAATGTTGCACTTTTTTCTAACTTGGTTTTTTATGATCATGCAATAACACAACTTGGCGGTAATTATGTGTTGTAGTTTCATATTCACAGTTAAATTAAGGGGGTTTATTTGAGTATATACGTATAGGGCCTACATTTTACACCAAAAAAATAAGCGCCTCACTCAAATAAACTTCTCCCTCGAAGCCCCTTCAAAAACCCATGAACAATAAACGGGCGTTTATTCGAATAAATACAGTATACCCTGTTAATAACGTATTTACCTATGCTGGCTACTCTTATACCATTTTGTCTAAATTGTTGGATATACATTGACATCTTATTTGACACAAAATCCGTATTATAGTATACACTACTTACATTGTAAATAAACAACTTTTAGAATAATATAAATAGTCGTCTTGACAGCAACATAATTAATGATAAATATGACGTTGGAAAATAAATTTCAAATAACATGTACAGTTAGAAATTCATAAGGCTTTGACTTATATGATGAACTTCAGATCACAGAGAAGTGGGGATTACAGTGACGTTTCCGAAGGCAGTCATCATCGACGGCGACGTCGTCGCCACAGACGACATTCTGGTGACTCAGAATCGTTCTCAGATTATAGCGGAAGCAGCTATGATAGCACAACTGATTCAAGTAAGTAATAATTCGTAAACAAAGTCCAGTTTTATTCTTATGCAAGTATAATGATTACTGACATTATGTGGCATTATGTGAGATGCAAAACTAAATATCAAGAGTCATTGCATTGTGTTGTCCTACAATTCTGCTGTCCAACACTTTGCTAGGTCGAACATGATAACAACCAATAATAATGTATTGTAACACGTCATTTGAAGATTGCACTTATTATTTTAGTATACATAACTAGTAACTTTGTTAATATTTCACTATCACATGGATCTATCTTTGCACTTGTGATGGGTGTGGTAAGTCCCTATTCCAATTATATTTAATGCTTAAACAAGGGCGTAGAAGGCGACATCGAAAACATCGAGACAATGATCACCCCCAAGACGGAAATGGGATTTCTGGTTCTGGAACTGACTGTGAGGACGACGGACGCAAAAGACATCACAGGCGGCGACATAGGCAGCACAGAGACAGGGATTCCGAAAGCTACTCAAGTGAATACTCTACACCATCAAACGAAGAAGAGGGTGAAGGTGGACGTAAGCATAGACGACATAGAAGATCACGTGATGATTCGAGTGACGGGTCTGACCACAGTAATTGTGTCAGCAGAAGTAAAAAGAAACGAAAGGGAAATAGAGGGAGAAGGAAGGACAGTGAAGACGAATCAGAATCGTACTCCGTAAGCTGTGTTTTTTAAATATATTTCCCTTCTAATAATCATTATGCTCCATTGTGAATTTTATAATGTCGCTTTCGTCAGCGGCAAATTGCATACATAACACAAATATACGATTCTTTGTATACAATAATAATTGGGTTTCTGATCATAATCTGGTAGGTCATTAAGCATAACAGAATTAAGGCAAATAGGTTTAATTACCCATTATCAAATGTTACATTGTGTGGAGTAACATGAAAAGCATTAGCAAAACAATATGCAAATTTAATGTGTTTGTGTCAACCTTTACACAGACTGAAGGGGATGAAAAACACGATGATAGCAAGAAAAGAAGGCGACACCGTCGTCGTCGTAAACATAATGGAGGCGAAGAATACGACTCTTCATCAAGCAGCTATAGCGAAACCTCCGTAGATTCGAAAGGTAAACACAAAAGTCGACGGAAGAAAGGTCGCCGTCGAGAAAATCATGAAAGTGACAAAAGTTATTCATCCGATGACTCGACTAATTCACACCATAAAGGTGAACGAAAAAGTCGACGCCGTAACCGTAGTCGTAAAGGAGATGATGATGGTGGTAGTAGTTCCCTTTCTAGCGATTCTTTATCTGGCACTCAACTATTGGGGAAAGCTCCCACCAATACACTACACTCTGTATCCATCAGCAAAATGCTTCGCTCTCGTCCTCATGGTATGTCTGACTAGTAATATCTCCACGGCACAACTAAGCACAGGCGACTCCTTGCACCCAAGATGTAATTCACTACACATTGTCCACCTGATTTGATTCACACGCTTTTTTTGTCTACCGTTATTTCAATCTTTTAAGCTAACCTTGCAGCTTTGTCATTATACTACACTTACTGTCGACTAGCACAATTCCGTGTCATTTCTGATGAAAGTTGTTTGCACTCGATACTACAACGCGTGTTTCACTTTCATTATTTTAATAACATTTATAGGCCTATGTCATTTATTGGGACATTTTTGGTTGAGTTAACACAGTTTTGGGAAAATTAATATATTATTAGAGCATTATGTAGTAGCACTACATGCCTATTATTGCATCGTGTTTTGGAAAATCTATTTTATATAACAGTGCAATAATTAGTCTAAACAAAATTCTTATCAAATTCTGGTACTGTTTTAAAACTTTTTGATCGATTGAATTGTATACGTCTATTTAACAAAAACTACAGTTCACTTCCCAAATCGATAGGGTCTAATTCTACGACCCCTGTATTCACTTTTCAAAATTGCATCTAATGACTACCTATCCAGACATTTTAATGCTTTGAACGTTTTATTATTATGTAAACATTTTTTAAACTGAGTCCGTTAATCCCTTTTTGTGTTAACCCCTTACTTCTGACCTCATTAGACATTCTGTGGAATATCTTTTCAAAGGATTTGTTTAAAGGTAGAGCCTATTTAGTACTCTTGCAGATGCTGTATTTCACCCGTCGGTCATTTAGTATTAGTACCGTACCTCAATCCTAGCTTTTCGATCTTCTTCAGCCAACCCATTGGTTGCAGTTCCCCGTGAATAAGCTGCGTTGTTTTTCATATTGGTAACAGCTATTGAAAATGTATTGGTTCGTTCAGAAACTTGCAAACCAAATAAACTTGCTCATCATTTGGGACATGTATTTTGTAGTGTCACAGAAATGATTATGGCGGTCACTGCCAATGCGTCCGTAGGTATAGTGTCTTCCCAAATAATTTATTAGGCTATACTTAAATTGAATGTATTGAAAACTAAAACAATGAGGCAAGGAACAGATTCCTACAAATTGAAAGAAAGATGTCATGTGTTTACAAGCATGTTGATATAATATCAGCATTTGTTTTTCTTTCGGAGACTATATTTGTTCAGTTTCTCTTTTTATTTAGAAGTTTTCAGGAACGATTCTTTTTAATTTTGCTATATTCAGTTCACTATTTAACTAATCTCCACGTAGATATTTTTTATTTTAGAGATCACCCCGAATGTTCGGATTTCAGGGTCTCGAATAGAGGGTAAACGTAATTTAATATATTCGTAGTGTAATTACAATATCCCCATTTTATGTCGACACTTTAATCAATGTGGTTAATCTGAGTATTACTTTCATCCACAGGTTCTGGAGAAAACGATAGCGACTCTCCGTATATGTCAAGTTCCGATATGTAAGTGCTGTTGAGTTTTAGGTTTACTACTATTCTATCTTAAAAATATAAAAAAGAAAAAAAAAACTGAAAATAAAATGCAATGCAATGTAATAATTCTTATTAAAACATTTGTTTATGATGTATGAGATACATATGATAATGAAAATAGGCTGTCACAATAACCTCAACAGTAGTTCGTGTAAGCATTTCGATAAAATAAATTATATTATTTAAGTATATTTTATACTAGATCAGTGAATTTGAGAATATCTGTATTCCAATAACATTATATCATAAATTATTTATTATTACTACAGCTCGACCGATAGTACGTCAAGTAGTTCGGCCGTAAGCAGTGCTAGCAGTGTTAGCAGTGTGGACAGCAGCGATATATCAAGCATAGAAGGCGATTACAGTGAAGGTGAACTCCAGAGACTCAAGAAAGAGAAGAAGGAGAAAAAGAAAATGGAAAAGCAACAAACGAAGCAACAAGTAAAAGAAATTAAAAGAAAGGAAGCACGCGAAGAAAAGAGAGAATCCAAGCGAAAGGAAAGGGCAGAGAAAGTCAAAGAAAAAAAGAAGAGGAAAGAAGAAAAGAAGAGAGAACGTAGGAGGTAGGAAGTGTGTATGATTACTTTCAGTCGGTTTGGTTCACCTTTTTCAGATCTTGCCAGTGGCCTTTCATTTGTCTCACATCTCAAAATAATTGCTATTATACAAAGTAGATTAGAATAGTTATAAATTCATGAAAAGAATGTGGTGAATTTTGGTATGCATGTTGCTCATTTTACAATTGTTCATTTGTAGAAGATTATTCCTATGCAATAAATATATATATATATTTATATATATATATATATATATATAAAACATATGAAAATGTTAATTTTATTAAGACTATTTCAGTCGTTGCTTGTCTTGATATGCAACTGCTTAACATAAAGTGCTTATTTTTATACAAAGTTAACAATATCTTGAAATAAATTCATTTTGATCCAAATATAATTTGTATGAAATTTTTCAGTTGTGAGGATCAACACAAATGAAAAATTTCATACAAGTTAACAATAGTTAGAAACAATGAAGGGAAGATGTAGCCAAGTAAGCAAGTAGGCCGAAGGGTGTGTAAAATAATATTAACTTGCACTATCTTGCAGCCGTAAAAAGGCGCTTCATGAACCATAAGATCGGGGTAACCCTTTACTCTTCCGAAAGATGCAATGGGTTCTTTAAAGTTCACACGAAGAAGTGAGTCTTTATCCGAGAGGAATTGGTTCCACCAACCGAAACATGGCCGAGGAGCGGCTGGAACAGCGCTTATGTTAATGCTGTAGCTAGCGGCGGCCATGCCTTACCGCTCGACCACTCTACTCGCCTAAACTTAGTTTCGTACTACACATACCGTACATGGTTCAACACTCTTCAGATACAATTTCCTAATTTAATTAATTTAGGCAATTTTATCTGAAGAGTGTTGCACCATATACCGTATGTGTTGCACGAAACTAATATTAATAAATGTCTAATCAAACCTACTGTTGAACCTCTCGTTTTTGTTTTGTTTTAATTCGTTCTGGTTTTATTACCATTGAGCACCTGTCTCTTATACACATCTAGATGTGTATAAGAGACAGTATATATATATTACAATTGTATTGCAGTTATATTAAATTGAACGTAGGAACGTATAATTATAGTAATGTGTGAGGGGTGGGGTGATAGACTTACGCTCAGATAACTGTGTGGGATCGAATTCTCGACCTTGGTCTGGTAAGTATTAAATTATGGGCATGATTGTTTTACAGGAACAAGAGAAAAATGAGTCCAGTGAGCAGTGTGAGTGATGTCAGTAGTGTAAATAGTGATGACATCTCAGATGTAGGTAGCAACTTGGGAGAGGATGAAAGACGAGCCCTCATCGAGGAAAAGAAAATGAAGAAGAAGGAGGCAAAGAAAGACAAAAAGTTTGAGGAGAAAGTTGAGAAGAAGAAAGAAGAATGGAAAGCCAAAAAGAAAGAGAAAGAAAAACGGAGGTAGGCCTACGAAGAATTAGTTTCGTAATTGCTTTAACTGCTAGTCCGTATGGAATTAAGTTGACCATCATTGATATGGCTATTGTAATATTTGCTACCATAATGATAGCATGTCCACAGATAAGATATTTAAATACTGTTTTACATCACTTATTATCTACACCCTCGGCATATGACTAGTCTAAATCAATAATATGAATCTATGTTTTAAAGGAAAGTCATTGAGCTTCAAAAGGAATTGGAAAGGATGAGTTCCGCCAGCTCGGTTGAAAGTGTTAACAGCGACGAAATCAGCAGCGTTGACAGCGACCTCAGCGACGGAGAAAAACAGAGAGTGAAGGAGAAAAAGAAAAAGAAACTCAAAGCCGAGCGACAGCTCACGAAAAATATAGTTAAGGCAAAGATTCAATTAAAAGAAAAGCGGTAATACTACAACAGTTTTCTGTGTTTGTTGTCGTTAACACTTTTAATAACAATACTAGTAATCAAAAGATTTATAATGTGCCAATTTAAAAAATGATCAAATTACCCTTATATTAAATTTTGTTAAATTCTTTTAAATTATCTTTAAATAAATTTAAAATAGTCCAATCTATAAGAAATGGAGGGGTTCATTCCAAAGGGAAGAGGCAGAGATATCGCCACTAGCTGTCGTAATTTTGGCAGGTTCAAAATGTAATTAATCCGTCTTCAGTGCCTGTTAAATAGGCTCGTTAATTCCCCATCTTGGTTCATATTAGCACAGTTTAGAAGCCTTGACGCAAATGCAAACAAAACTATGCGCCAGCAGTAGGCCCAAAACTGCTTGTGTTTGTATCAATGATTGCTCTAGAATTTAAACCATACCTTAGATCTGACGCGGTAACTGATCATGCACTGCACACTTTATGCGATACGATAAATGACCCACATTTTAAATAATTTACATCAGTAGGGCGTAAAATACTGTAGGTCTACTTGGGGTACTATACAAGGAAGTGTTTTATTGTAAATTTAATTAGGTCACACATATTTATTATATTAGTATTATACATTAAGTTTAATTGTAAGAACATTACTCTCTGTTGCTATAGTAAAAAGGAAGGAAAGGCTTCAGATAGTGAAGACGACGTAAATTTTGATGAAATAGGCTACGAAGAAATCAAAAAGGCTATCAATAAGTCAAAAGGAGGAAAGAAGAAAAATGGAGCGAATGGAGGAATTGAGGACGACGGTTCTGATAATAGCTCTGACAATTACGGGTAAGTTGTGCATTGATCACCCAACTGACCATCGAAACAATGTTGAATAAAATAGTGTGATTGCAAGCCATTACATGTTGTTTACGGTTTAAATAATAACCATTATTCTACTATTATTCTTTTTATAGATATGGTAGTAAAACAAATAAAGCTTCCAAGAATAAGAAGAAAAAAGAAAAACGACTACCTAAAGGTAAGTATTGTTATTATTTCACCTTGATGAGATAATACGGTAATATTTGTGACCAGGTCACTCTATCACGCATGTTATGGTTTAATTATTATAATATTTCTCTTGGTCTTATACAACCGCTAAGCCACAGTCGATTCTTCAATTTGTTCTTGAGAACATTGTCAAGAAATAATATTAATTATAGTAACAACGGTTAAATACCATGGAAACAAATGAATGAGGCAAAATATTAAACCTTGCCAATAAAAAAAAGACCAACGTTGAATAAAGAATAAACCATTTCTTTATTTCACAACGCATTATACAAACACAAAAGTTAAACAAACTGAATTTCTTTAGATGATATGTTGGAACTAAGGGCTCCTGATGGTACCAAAATTCGTGTTAGCATTCCAAAGAATATGCGTGTCGGAGGAAAGTTTGTCGGCAAAATTCGCTTGAAAGGTGATGGAACTGTTGCCGCGGACGACGATGAAGATGCTGAATCAGTGATCATTGATGAGGATGGTAATCTAGTCTCACAGCCAACAATGCTGATTAATCCGAAGACTATTGTTTTGGATAATGAAACTTGGGAAGGATTTCAACCAACACCACCCCCACCAAAGACACCCACGGACGGCGGAAGAGTGCAATGTAGGTGTTTTTGCAATAAAATAATTAGGTTCTTCCTGTGTTTCTTTCTTTTGATGTGATTTAAATACACGATACCGTAATAAGTCACATAGATTGAAAAGTAAACCCTTGCTCGTTGAAACACTAACCAAATTTAGGTTAATTAATTCACTTTGCTTTCCATCAGTCACTGGGATCAAGAAGGTCTTACATGCCTTTCGAAAAAATGGTGAGGTTCTTCAGAAGCACTTAGACGAGGTTTTGTATACAGCTGGAGAACTGAATGATTACAAACAAAGAGGAGACAAAATGGCAATGCTTATTGATGAACGAGGTAAATGGTTCAGTATTTGATTTCCCTTCAAATATCGTGAGGATAGTAAAGATATGGATCTAATAATTGTTACTGCTCAAAAAATCACACAGATCGAAAAAAAAAATCGACAATTTACATGCATTTTGCTTCTAAAATCCTTAAATTGATTACAAGCCAATGTAAGACCCTATGAACACTGGAAATGTATTATATCAATTTTCATTAATTGATAGTTCTTTTTGTCATTCAGATTTTTAATTGTTAATAACTTAATCGGGAACAGTTGGCACACGAGGACAATAACATCAAAAGTCTTAAAATCTTACGATTGTCACAATTATCTCCGGAGGAGCGTAGCTAAATATATTCGTATTATCATTACTACATTAAATTGTTTTATAGTTGGGAATACAATGGTACAGAAATTTTCAGCAGGCTTTTGACTTTATTGTACATCCTCCATATTTTATTGTTTTAATAAATTTTTTTTTTTAGTTTTTTGTTTGTTTGGTGGTTTTTCAATGGAATTAAAGACTAATTTATTAAATGTCTGATTATCAAAAAACATCGCTTCATCATTAATGCTTCAGAATTTCAAATTTTCCACTTACGCCCAAACCAATTAAAAGGATTGTTACTATACAATTTAAAAAAAAATGATAAGAAGAGGAAGAAAAACGCGTATTAGAACGTTCTCATGAAAAAACAATTAATTCCTTTATCTACTAGTTCTTTTATAGTATGCCGCTAAACAATAGGGCCTATTTATTAATTTCTACCTATTTAGGTACACTTGGATGTACATGTAGGTCTATTCTCAGGCTCCGGAGGAAAAGAAAATGATATGTTGCAGAACTGAAGACACAAACAAAATGTTTGACGAAAAAATTTGGAACGGTTACTGAGATACAGATTTTTGAATATTTAAAAACTGGGGAAAATGTGGAAAAAAGGGTGGTTATTTCAAATATTCAATAATCTGTTATCTCATTTCGTCAAACAACTTTTTTTGTGTTTTAGAAAAATCAGTTCTACAACATATCAATTTTTTGTTCCTCCGGAGCCTGACTTTCACTAAAGAAATACCTGTAATTATCTATAGGAAAATAAATACATTTTATGTTTATAAAAATGTACAAGGGTCAATCACAATTTAACACAACAATGGTTTAACTGTTCTCTGTGACTCAACAACGGTTTTATGTTTTGTCGTTCAGATAGTTCCATAATGTATGCTATTTTCATATCACATAAGTCACATTTCATGTATTATAAAATTTATAAAAAAATGTTCAAAGATCAATCATATTAATAACACAGCAACGGTTTATATTTTGTCATTCAGATAGTTCCATAGACTATATATCCCATTTTCGACTTGTGGAGAAGCGGAAACTCGATCCCTTCGGAAAAGCATTTGTAGTTGAAGATGATGACTTTAATTGCGTCATTAATTTAAACGTAAGATTAATTTTAATTCATTCCATAACATGCAATATATAAATATTGAACGTTAAGGAAGAGAAATCTGCTAGTATGAAAAAGTTTCCCCCAACCGTGAGGAACACAGGACCTTCCGCTGCCTAGCAGACGCTTTAAATGCAGGCTCCGGTGAAAACGAAATGATTATATTGCACAACTGAAAGAATAGGATTGGTAATAATCATGCGTATGTTAAATTGGCAAAATAGAAAAGTTGCCTTTTTCTGTTTCCAAAGATAATAAGTTAAATATACGATTATTATAACTCAACACAGTATTATATATTATTAAAAACTGATAATCATCTAATAAATGTGCTTATTATGAAATTGAGCTTAGTATATCAGTATGATGGTTAGGCATAATATATGTTTTGTATTTGTTCTTTTTCTTTTGTACAGGAGCTGAAGGGTGCAATCGAAGGTATTCCAACTTTACAGACACTCAAACCAAAACAACTTGAATATGCATTAAAGGTAAGTTGATATATCATCCCAAAATACTCAACGGCCATCCCAAACATCGCACATCTCCTCAAGTTGTACTTTACGTAATCTCTATTTAAAATCCTTTCCTTTTGATTTGCAAGTTAGAGACATTCAACTCAAACCATTAAATAGCGGGCTAAAATATAGAAAGTAAGTAATTACAGTTTAGATATATACGTAATAACAGACTAGACATTTACGGAATTTCTGTCTTTATCTCCAATTCAATTTTTATTCAATCTTGGTTTTGTCCGTCTACCATGTCTTATTTTATTTTATTTATTTTGGCACATATCACCAAGGATTGTTAATAGCGAATAATATCACTGTCCTACCTGTAGGTGACAATCAATTTCACTAGACAAACATAACACACACAAACTAATAACAGACTAGACATTTACGGACTTTCTGTCTTTATATCCAATTCAATTTTTATTCAATCTTGGTTTTGTCTGTTACACTAAAGGCCTATTTATTCCTGGCTTATCAAACTACGGTCACAGACCGTTTTCAACCAACACCAAGCCTTTACCGCACTCAATCACTACCCGAATCACAAAGAGCCAAGGTCTTTTAACTGCAAGTAGTTTACATATCAATGGTGCGTGTCACCTGTACATGCAACAATGGCATAAAATACCATAGCACATAACTTAACGTGACACTGTCTTTATATCCAATTCAATTTTTATTCAATCTTGGTTTTGTCTGTCTACCATGTCTTATTTTTTTAAAAATTTATTTTGGCACATATCACCAAGGATTGTTAATAGCGAATAATATCACTGTCCTACCTGTAGGTGACAATCTCTTTCACTAGACAAACATACACACACAAACTAAATGCTAATTATGAGCTGTTATTACCCTCTCCCCACACGAGGTAATGAGTTGCGTGGGTGTGTGTGTGCCGAGCGGAAAAGATGCACGTTTTGTATGTAAAGATGATCGAACGTATGAGGTTCAAATCTCACTCTTGCTTGTTTTTTTTAAATTATTATTATTATTAATATGATTTTGTTATTTCTATTATTTGTGCATGTATATTAAAAATTTAAAAACAATGAAATAATATTTTTTGATTGCTCCAGTATCTGTATTTAACTTTAAATAATAATAATAATAATAATAATAATAATAATAATAATAATAATAATAATAATAGTAATAATAATAATAGTAATAATAATAATAATAATAATAATAATAATAATAATAATAATAATAATAACAATAATAATAAAGACAATAATAACATAATCATAATCGAACGTATGGGGTTCAAATCTCACTCTTTTTATAATTATTATTTTATTATTATTTGTGCATCTTATCTTTCATATTTTTTGAATATGTTTAATATATATGGACAAATAACAAAAATAACAAAACAATTTAAAAAAAGCAAGCAAAACCCTCTTTAAACAAACAATTGTCGCACTTTAATATCACGCTCTCTATTCAGCTATTATGAATACAAAA